TGAAAAATATTGTACTATATATATATTTTTTTATTGATTAACCTTTAATATATTGTATGTAACATTTCCCAATAAACGCTCTGTCGTCTGGACTTTTTTATTTATGCCAAGCAAGCAAAAACCCTGAAGCGGACAGGTGCTAGTCCAGCAAGGCGAGTATACTCATATCTATACTTTTCTTTCTCATTGGTTTCATCGATCCTCAGCTCTAAAGAGAGAAACGCCTTTCTTCTCTGTCTCTTCACTCCTGTGGCGGACTCCTCAAAGTCTCAAACTTCTCTGTATTTGGGCTTCTTACAAATTCAATCACTTTCTAACTGTCTTTCTGAGAAGAAAAGGATTCACTCAAGCCTAAAAGCGCTGAAACCAATGGCGTCTTCACTATCAACCACGGCTGCAGCTTCTGCTTCTGCGGTGGCCAAAACCTCTGCCAATTTGCCTAATTATAGTAATTGCAGCCTCTCTAGAGTTTCCTTTCGCCTTTCTCCTAAGCCAAAGCTTCGATTTTTCGCCAAGGTATTTATTTTTTTTATATTTTTTTAAAGGTGAAGTTAATTAGTTCTTGTTTTTGCTTTAACTGTTGTGATTTACCTGGTTTTCTTGAATTACTGGGTAAATGTGAGGAAGAAAAAAGGATTTCGTTAGTTTAACGTGTTTTGGGAGCTATAGGTTTGTTTATTATTTGGATTTGTTAAGTTTGAGATTGCTTTAGCTGATAATGTTTTTGCATTTCGGTTTTAGGAAGAAATTGAATTTAATTTCAAGTTTTTTGTACTTCAGTTAGTTATTTACTCTGTTACTGTTGCCTTGGGAACTAAAGCAGACTGCTAGTATGTTTAGATTTGTGATTTCTCTCTTTATCACAAAGTGTTGATTTTGAATGACTGGAAATGTAAAGAAGAAAAGGAGATTGATAAAAAAAAGAAAGAAAAAAAGGAAAGAAATTATGGTTCTTAATATTGAATATGAAATTTTTGATGCAAGGTGACTTAATAGAATCAATTTGGAAGTTAGGTAGTTTTATTCCATCAATTGATTGGGATGATTGAATTCTTTTATAGAATTATTAGTTCTATTTGATTTTACATTTTTTGGTTTATTGAGAGTCCAATCAGCATGTTCATTTATGAAATTTCCTTGCTTGTGCCATTTGATACAATCCATTGCGATTGAATTATGATCCACTCTGGAGAGTGGACTTAATTTTAATGTTTTTTCTGGTTCATTGCTTTTTTCCTCACCATTAGTTTTTTTTAACGCACCTTCTTTTAGTATAAACAGCTTTTCTTGGGAAAACTAGATATAAAAAGAACAAAAAAAAAAAAAAAAAAAAAAAAAAAAAAAAGAACAAAAAAAAAAAAAAAAAAAAAAAAAAAAATTGAGGTTTGCATGAAAACAGCTAAAAGGTGCCACGTTATTATGTCACTCGGCCACCACCTAAAATTTTAAATCTGACAACATTGCCCTTTTTTGGACCGACCACGAATATCTGTCATAATGTAATTTGGCTTAATCAGAGCCATGGTTTATTGAGAATGAATTAATACTAGTAATTTACACCTGTTGCCTAATTGTATTATTTTCTTTATGGTTAACAAAATGGTGAAACTTGGACATTATAACAGTTATGGTGAACTTTATAAAAAAAAAAAAAAAAAAAAAAAAAAAAAAATTGAGGTTTGCATGAAAACAGCTAAAAGGGTGCCACGTTATTATGTCACTTCGGCACACCTAAAATTTAATCTGACAACATTGCCTTTTTGGACGACACGAATATCTGTCATTAATGTAATTTGGCTTACTCAGAGCCATGGTTTATTGAGAATGAAATTATACTGTATTTACACCTGTTGCTATTTATTATTTTCTTTATGGTTAACAAAAATGGTGAACTTGGACATTATAACATATGGTGAACTTTTATATTCTACGTTTCAACATTTCAATGTTTTCACTTCCTTTCCAACTTTTTCTTGGCATCCAAAGCAGTCGATTGTTAATAGGTCCATCAGTAACTGTTATATATGAATTTGGAATTCAATCAAGCAGCACCAGCTAGAATCTTGCTGTCTATAACAAATCATTATAGCATCATTCATTCTCTCTCTCTCTCGGTATGATAATTATTATATATCAACATTTCCTCGTCGGATTATGTAAATAAGATAATAATTTAGTATCTCTTGCAAATTCATTCGATTTTTCATGCCGATTTTAGATTCTGTTTCAAATCTTATGATAATTTAGTAGCACAGAATATGTTGTGCTTGTTGAGATGCAAATTTAAATTGTTCTTCTTGGCAGATTTGGTCATTTTATTTTATCTGATAGCTTTGTCTTATGACTTAAGGTGATGCATCCATTAATTAGTGTGATATTGAGAGATCATTTACACTTGATCAATATACACTTTTTATTGCAGATATCTAATTTATGTCTTTACCATTTTATCACCAAAATATCCTTTGAAATTTTCTTGTAAGAATTCCAAAGCTTGTTTAGAGTCGTGCTTCACACTTGGATTCAGAAGTTTACAAATCTTTAGTTGTTTCCTAGAGTCAAAATTTTCGTTTAATTGTTTATTTATAGATTTATATTCACTAAAGTTGCATGTGTTTATTTTGATCAACATTTGGGAATTAATTACTTCTAGGCTTTTGCCAACGCAAAAGAGGCATGCAGGCCAACTTTTAACATTGCACTGAGTGATGCTATATGCAAGGGTTCTGGTGGTCAAATCAACTGATAACTAGGTTCCACTTATCAGACACCATGCCTATTACATTGATTTTACTGCACTAAATGAACATAGAAGGTTCCATTTGAAATTCAAGTGAGGAGAATTATGCATGTCCGTGAAATAGATGCAAGTTTTATTAATCCAGGAGAAAGTAATTGAACTCATGCTGCTGGATGAACTACCTATCAATGCTTCCATGTTTACCCCTATGATAGAAGGTTCAGCATAAATTTAGAACCTGAAGTTGCAACTTAACCTATTTTCTAAAAATAGTGAAATCATAAAATGGGATGCAACTTCCTTTTTCCCTTTTGAAACTCTTTTAAAGCTGTTGACTTGATGTGTTCATCACTCTGTTGCCACTTGCCAGAATAATAATTATATATCCTTTTTCCTAGATCTACCCATATTAATTATCAAAAAATAATTGGATCTGTAATTGCACTGCGTATGTCGATGGGTACAGTGTCTGGGTCCAATAGTGCAAATGCAGAGTCTTGTGCTGGCTGGCGTTCTAGAATGATCAGTGAAATGGTTGCTTAAGACTGAACAGTGTTCCTCTCTCTCTTTCTTTGTCTTAATTGTCAATTTACTACACTGTATGTTATTTTTGGTTTCCTTGTACTTGAGGATGATTTATGCACAAGTCTAATATTTATAATAGTATCAGCCATCTTGGAACTGATGTATTGTTTTTACTCGTTATTCTTTGTGTGGAATCCTTCACTTGGTAGGATTCTTGTGCCAACTTAAAGAAATTGAGAACCATTTAATATTTATGTATTAACTTTTCAGTTTAGAACATTCAATTTCAAGTTTATTTTAGCATGCAAAGAGTAAAATTGGTCTCTGCAATGTAGGGTCTGCAGCCTGGTCATAACAATTCCACTTTAGTGAAAGCTCAACTGAATGAGGTAAGGTTCTTTCAACAGTTTTCATTTGAAGATCTTTTTTCAAATTTTCGTTCCTTCCTGGACATGCTTTTGGGCTCATCTGTTGCCTTCAAGGTTGCTGTGGATGGGCCCTCAAATGCTGCTGCTTCACCTCCAACCAGATCGGGAGTACCATCACAAGAAAAAAAGGATGCTAAGCCATCAAATGAGCCTTCGGCTCCAGCTTTGGCTACGGAGGAGTCAATATCCGAGTTTATTACCCAGGTTGCAAGCCTTGTGAAGTGAGTGGAGTAAACTTCTTCGAACTTGTATCATCCTGCATTATTCTAAGAATGTTACAGTAGCTATGTTATCTCTTTATTGCAGGCTGGTTGATTCAAGAGATATTGTGGAGTTGCAGTTGAAACAACTTGACTGTGAAGTGATAATCCGGAAAAAGGAGGCCTTGCCTCAGCCACCATCTCCTGCCCCAGTTGTTATGATGCATTCACCTTCCCAATCACCACCACCGCTAATGCATTCAGCCCCACCTGCAGCTTCTTCTACAGCCCCTAGTCCAGCTTCCTCTGCTCCACCTCCACCACCTTCAGCTCCTGCTGTTAAACCATCCAAGTCATCACATCCACCACTTAAATGCCCTATGGCAGGCACATTCTACAGAAGTTCAGCACCAGGCGAACCACCTTTTGTGAAGGTAAATCATCATTGTTTAGCACTTTTCTTGTCATGTATGTTGCTAATCTTTTACTTGTTGTGAATGATGCTAACTTTATGATTGATGTGTCATCTTTTCTGCTGCATTCTTTTCATATGATTTCCACAGGTTGGAGACAAAGTGCAGAAGGGACAGGTTTTATGCATCATTGAAGCCATGAAATTAATGAATGAAATAGAAGTAAGTTACTTCTATATTTAATGTTTATTAGAGATTCCTAGTAGCATGCAGGCAAAATTGAATTCCAAAAAATTTGGGCTAAAAGTTTTTAGTTCCCAATATATATATATACATATATTGTCTTTTTCTTCCTTTCAAATTAAGATTTTGAAAGCCTCACTTGATCAATTGATCCACATCTTCAAGGCAACATTTATCCTCTACTTGATGCCTAAAGAGTTTATTCAATTTCTTTTTTCTGTGATTGAACCATATAAACCAAATTTGAATGTCGTTCTGAGGTGGTGTGAAGACTAAAATATAAGCTGTTTTAAGTTTATTATTGCTGCTACTCCTACAAATTGAAAGGAATGATAACAAGTATGAATCACATTTGTCTTAAAATCTTTCCTAGAAATCTTGAGAACTGATCCTAGAAGCCAGAGTTGACAGAATTCACTTCTATATTCAGATACATATTAAACATATCAATGTCTTTGGATCCAATAAAATGATACATATCATAAAACAAGAATAGGGTAACTAGGGAAGAGGAACTCTGCCTTTTTCTTTTTCCTTTTTCTTAAGTAACTTCTTAAATAAATTTATGATAACTGAAACTCAAAAGAACAATTATTCAATTAAAAGGAGACGGGGAAAACCCTAATAAGTGCTATCTGCAATGCTATAGAAGATGTCTATGGAAATACCGATCGTTTTGATTTATAGATCTGTACCCAATCATAATGGTGGATTTTAAGACCCATCTGGTACAAGCTACTGATGCATAATCTATTCCTTTGTTGGTTTTTGTGGCTAATTTGCTAACATGAAAACTGATTTACGTGAATATTTGTTTGTAATCACTAGTTCTTTTGCTTTTTTATTTTTTTTAAGAAAAAATGGAAATATATTAAAGTCAAAGGTGTTTACTGATTGTATCTGAAATGTATTTTTCACTTTAGGCTGATCAATCAGGAACCATAGTTGAAATTCTTGCAGAAGATGGCAAGTCAGTCAGTGTTGACATGGTAAGTTATCTTATCCAACTCCAATGAAGCAGTTTGGATTGCTACATAATAAATGACTTTCTTTTTTGACTTGTCTTATTGATTTCTTGACAGCCTCTGTTCGTGATCGAGCCCTAAGAAAGCTCGGCTACTGTTAGACAAGCATTGAGTAAAGATTAGGAGGCGAGTGTAATTCTTTGTAATGTTGTTAAACGCGGCATTGTTATTTTGTGCTTCGATGTTTTGTTTGGAATGAGTTGTTAGGAGGCGAAAAAATTAATTATTCTAGTATGTATTATTTTGTTATTTTTGAACTATATTACTGCAACTAAGAATAACTTTAACTTTCCATGTTTGGACGGTATGTTTAATAAATCAGTTGTTAGTTGGTTGTTGTTTCTATAGAACTCTGTTCTCTGTTACGAAAATTAGCATGCTGCTTGGGAAATTTTATTTCAAGAAACCTTTGAATGTCAATATTTAAAGCAAACTCATATGAGATCTCTTAGAAGTGAATAAACTTAAGGTGTAAAATTCCAAATAAAGATATATTATCTGATGATGTAATAGAAATTTTGAGTTCTTATTGATTGATTATTTGAAAGTTGTGGAATTTAGGAAATCAAGTTTTAGCTTGCCGGCATGCGTACATGCATTTGCATGGTTTGAATCCAGTGGTTGAACTGGATTCAAACCGCTCCCACCTTCCCTCTGATTTCCTGAGGGATTTGCACGGTTGAACTGGATTCGGACCGCTCCTACCTTCCCTCTCACTCCCTGCAAATGAGAGGTTTGCATGGTTGAACATCTCATTTGCATTGATTGAACTGGATTCGGATCGCTTCCACCTTTTCCTTCATTTCCGAGAGAACGTATATTTTTTCCGAATCTTCCTGAATGGTGCGGAATAATTTTCTCGTCCCCTGTATTTATAGACAAAAGAAAAATGGAAGTTATGCAATCTGAACCTCAAGTTGCGAACGGTTGATTAGATTTTATTCATATATTAATGGATTAATTTATACATAAAAACACTAAAAAATAAAAAATAACAGACTGCTGGATTAGTGGGAGTGAAATGTATTTTCTAGCGCTGAGCCAGAAAAAAAAAAAAAAATCTAATTAGAGCCTAACCAATTATTAGCAACCACATTTTTTGTCATAATATAAATTTCTAAAATTAGTTCTTTAAAAATAAAATAAATCTAAAAGTCTAAAACTATCTTGTCTTGGTCTCAGCTTGGGCTTGGGCTTGGCCAATAGTCCTGAGAAACGTGTGCACGCTCCTCCACAACGCGTGACTAAAAAACCGTTAAGAAAAGGAAATAGAAAACCTTCTATTTTCTCACCTTCTCTCCTTCATTCAGGCTTCAACCTTAAACAATCGAAACGAAGAGGCTAAATTCGTTCTCTCCTTCTCTTTACCCCAAAATTCCCCTGATGGGTCCCCCTTCAAACTCCGTAACTTTCCTTCATGCTCCGACACTTTCCATCACTTTCCTCCTTTTTCTCACCTGTCATCTCCCTCTTTCCGCCGCATCTCAGTCGTCTATCTACGACCACCTCCGCCTTAATGGCCTGCCCATTGGCCTTCTCCCCCAGGGCATTACCGACTTTTCTCTTGACGCCACCACCGGTCACTTCCAGGTAAATCTAACCCAACCTTGCAATGCCAAATTCGAGAACCAACTCCACTACGATTTCAACATTTCTGGGCTCCTCTCCTTTGGGAAGATCGGTGAATTATCCGGTGTGTCTCAGCAAGAGCTCTTTCTATGGTTCCCAGTCAAGGGTATACGTGTAGATGTCCCAAGCTCTGGTTTGATATATTTTGATGTTGGGGTTGTTGACAAGCAATTCTCTTTGTCTTTGTTTGAGAACCCTACAGAATGTACAGCTGCTGATCCTGGTGATAGGCCTGTTGATTCTCCAGGGATGGATGACTCTGAGGTTTGTCTTTACTGTTTTTGATTCTGGATTACATTGCGTGATTTTGCGTTTCTTGTTTTTAAATGGATGGGAAATTGTGAATATTTTTTTGGGAGTTGCAGTTTAACTTTTCTGATTGATCAATGCTATTGGACAAATGTTTTTTTGATTGAAATTATATAAATTTTACTCTTTTTTTTTTTTTTTAAATTTTTGGATTGAAATTGGATACATTTTACTGGGATTTGATATTATGCCTTTCACCCAGCTAACTTATTCTCATATATATATATATGCTGAAAGCAATAGAAACATGATCTTTTCATCCGAAAAGTTGTACAAATTGAAGGCTTGGAGCTTTATTATAGTTTCTTAGTACATCTATATACTTTCTTGTAGGTTTTGTGTTTGAGATTTGAGTTAAATTATTAAAGAATGTTACTTAAAGAAATGTCTTTAAAGTTTTGTATCGGTTGGTGATCCCCGTTCATTTTATCTTATGTTGTTCATATTGCTAATGTTTACTCTTACCTTATTTCAGAAACAATCAGGGAAACTTGAATATAAAATTGGGCGAGGGGACTCGAGGGCTGCTTCATAATTGTTGAGGCGGATATATACTTAAATGTTTAGAAGTCAGTCGGTCCTTTGGGTTCTTCTTTCTGCCAAATGAGACTGTTGGAGGTTTTGGTTTAGCAGATCCTATGTTTTGCCTATGTGTGCTAGTCAGCTGTTTCTGTACAGATCTTTTGGCCTGATACTTCCATCTCTACATTGAGAAGTATAACAGTTTTGGCCAAGAGAAGAAGAAAAAGAAACAGACAATAAGCATTGGATCTTATTTTTCATAAAGACAAGAGTGAGATGAGAGTCGTTAGTTTCGGCTGGTAAGTTTGCTAGAGATTTATATTGTTTGTTGTTGTGTCATATTACTTTACATACAAACGTTTGAGTGTTGCATTTTGTTTCTGTAAATGGAAAGAATTGTCTGTTTTTGTATATTGTTCTTATAATTGTCAATCTTATAAATGACTATTACGTTGAACTAAAACTACTAGTGAATTGTTTCTTCATATATGTTGACAGTATTGAAGTTTTAAACTTTTTTGCTGGAACTCACATTAATTTGATGTTTTAGTATTTTTTTTTTTTTTTTTTTTTTTTTTTTTTTTTTTTTTTTTTGGGCTTAGGTTGCATTTTTAATTAATTGGACCTCAATTCATATTATTTTATATAATTAATTAAAAAAGAAAGGGATAATAGAAGACATGAGCGGCACTTGGAAAAAAGGAGAGCACTCCTCAAGCGGTTGTTAAGTAAAAGTGTTAAACCCATTTTGTGAGTTTATAAAATTGGGCTTTATATTTTGGGTTTGGGCTTCGATTTTTAATTAACTAAGACCCAATTAATATTGTTTTTGTATAATTAATTAATTAATTAAAAAGAAAGAGAAAAAATTAAAATAATAGAAAAAAAGTGGTTTTCCTCTGTTTTATCAAATTGTTTCCCCAGACACCGACTATTACCTATATGTTTGACAAACACTAAAGACTGTACCTTTGATGTTCAAACCACCATCTTGTATTCTAATCATTCGAATTGCATATTATGATGAAGAAAAAGTTCGAGACAAGACAGCAAGTGGACAGGCCTGAACTATTGTCCTTCTTTCAGGACTTGTGTAGCCCAGAAGAATGAATATGAGAAAACTGTATACCAGACAGGCAAATGTGATGAGAAGGAAAATTTCCTAAACTCTAAAATGCTCCAACCTTGGGTTGTGATGATTAGGGACAATATAATTATGCTAAAAGGAAGAAACCCGACCCAAGCAATTGAAATTTATTACAGGCGATGTTTTACCTTTTTTTGAAATAATTTTCAAAATGCATATTCATTTATTTGTTCCTACATATTTATTTATAGATTATTATTATTATTATTATTATTATAATACTTTTTTATATCACTCGTTCTTTTTTCACCTATTGTACCAAAAAAAAAAAAAAAAAAAAAAAAAAAAAAAAATTGAGATTGAATTTTACATTGGAGTAAGATTAATTCATATTTCTAAGATGTATGGATTAAGCAATATAAAAAAAAAAAAAAAAAAAATTGAGATTGATTTACATTGGAGTAAGATTAATTCATATTTCTAAGATGTATGATTTAAGCAATATAATTGTTTTCATTTATTTTATTACATAGTATCATTATGAGAAATAATTTATTTTATTATATTGAATAATTAGTTCACATAATGTATTTGAATAAGTATTAACATAGAAATAAAGAAATTGCACAGATGATTAAACCCTTAATTTTTCAATCTAATATTGTAGTATATTATGTAAGTTTAGTTTAGTTTAGTTTATGAGCATAATAAACAATAAATTGGACTTTCTTGTAATTTAAAATTTAAAATTAAATAAAATTGTAATAGATTTGGACCCTTCGTTCCATTACCTCCATATATATTATATTAAATTGTCGTTTGCATTGAATTCAAGTTAACATTCTAATTAAGATGGAGATTACTTAATTAAAATTCCTATAGAGATGATGAAAAAGATGCTTCTTTTAACTTTCTTTCTTGTCGTTCTTGATGCACTTCTTTTTCAAGTGTGTTAAATTTTAATTTTTAAGGGGAAAAAAAAAACAAAATTACAAAAATTGAATAAATCTTTTTATTCTTATCATGAAATTAATAATTCTTTCATTTCTTAATGGAAAACGTTTTTAGTTTATTTCAATATAAGAGGAAAAAAACAAAATTTCAAATGAATAATCTTTTTATTTTTACAATCATTTAATTTAACGTTAAATAATTGTGCATTTTAAATAACTATAATTTGATCCAAATTTATTAAATTTGTTTTTTTCTTTAATTGAATAAATTATGATAATAATAATTAATTCCCTATCAGTAATACCACCTCCGCTCAAACATGCAAATATATATATTCTTCATTAAAAAGCACAAAATTTAATAAATTATTCTGCTGCTGTTTTTTTAATTTATCTATTTATTTATTTATATAATAATGGAGTAAATTGTATGTATTTTTAATACAATATTTTCAGCTTACAGTTGAACATGTCATTCAACAGGAAACTATCAACAGAATCGAATCAAGTAATTAGCACCTTGGCAAGTAAAAGTACTTGTTGAATCATCAAAAGCATAACTATAAGCAGTAGGACAAGCATCCTTGAACACCTTTGAATAATTGCTTGGCTTGCAGGTTGCTGGACTTCCATAAGGCCCCGTACAGCAAAACTCCGGCGACCCAAATGCTAGGCAAGCACTTTTACAGGCCACAACCTGACGGTTCCACCTTACTTGTAAGCTCCCAGGACATCTCCGGTTCATGTCTGCAACGCACTCAACAGACTTACAAGCTCCAGTAGGCAATATAGAAATTGGTAAATTGAAACCATCCACCAGGCTAACATCGTAGTAATCAAGTGGACTATTCAGGGTGAATTCTGCAAGTGAAGCTGGAGGCACGCCGCCCGCTCCTGCGCATTTCAGAACGCCACCACAGTCTCCAGTAAGGCATCTTCCGCGGCCTGAGCGGTCAAATGAGCAGCCAGTGCGACCCCAGAACCGGCCTGACCAACCTTGTGGTGCATTCAGAGTTACAGATTGGCCTGGTCTTAACTCAAACCCACCTCCCATTAGTTGAGGTTTCCCTGCTCCTGATAAAATTCCAGGCCATACAGTGGTTCTGCATCTATTTGAGAACGTAAAAACCGCAGCATCAGAACCTGAAGATCATCAATTGTTAGAGAAAGAAAAATTCAAGAACATAATATATCGAAGGAAATATATAAAGGGAAATTATTATTAATATATATTACCCAAGACAGAGATCAAAAGCATGAGGAGAAAATGCAATGGTGCCATTAAAGAAACTCGGCACCAGAGAGTAGCTTTGTTTGAGGGTTATGATATTTGCAGGCTTTAACAATGGCATGTAGTTACTTATATAGAAAACGATGTATTTAATTCAGTAAATATAGCAGTAGATCAGGAGATTTGGTTATTACATTATTTTAGAGTCGAGAGAATTGACAAATTAACAAACATTTGCTTAATTCAAGGGCAACTTTTATGCATGGATTGTTTTTCTTTTTTTTGGTAAATTAGTTAATAACCTAATCTCATGTACTAGGGATTATTTTTCATTATTCCTTTCTTTTTTTTTTTTTTTTTTTTTTTTTTTCTAGGGGATTATTTTCATTATTCCTTTCTTTTTTTTTTTTTTTTTTTTTTTGTTTTTGATATATGCTGTGTTTTTAATTTTTTTTTTTTTTTTTTTTTTTTTTTTGATATATGCTGTGTTTTTTAAGTTGGAAGAAAAATAAATTTGCTAAAGTAAAAGCAGATTGGGAATTAGGTGAAGATTTCCAACATTTAAATTAACCAATTTTCTATAAACCTATGTATGACATTTGATTAATTCAAATCCTAGAGAATCAAGTGAGATCACATTGAATTAAATATAATTGACAGACCATGCATGCACAGAAGATCTGTGTATATTAATCAATGTTCAAATCTGTTCACATGAAGACTAATTTTGAAGCGTTTTGGTTCCTTTCTTTTTGACTTTGTTTTCCTTTTTGGGTTTTGCAATCAAAGTAATTGATTGTGAGGATTTATTATTGAACATGGTAGTGTATGAATTTGTGTAGAGCCAATAGATAATACTCACAAAATTTGGTTAGTCTCCCAAAATAATAGAACTCCCAAAAAGACATATACTTACAATGGCTCATGCAACTTTCAGTTTATGCACCCTTTTTTGCTTTTTCATTTGCCTTTTAAAGATTAACTAAGCTTCAATTGAGCATTTGAATTTGCAACCTCACAGTCACAGCTCTAAAGACATTTCAATATCAGTAAGCCAAAGTCTCAGATGCCCAACAAATCCCAGGTTTGAATATGAATCTGCTACAAATCCCAGGACTACGCAAAATTTAGGTAGCTGGTGCATGCCAGCGTAGGTGTCTTTGTCACAACAATGAAAGGTACACACTTGAAACTACTTGTAGATTACAGAAATGATTATAACTAGAGAAACAAATAATTAAGCAAATCTAAAATGTTATGCATTTGGCAAAGACTTTGACGCTGCGTCTAGGAATATACTCTGTCCCATCTATCGCACGCATGCTTGGCAAATCATGTGTTAACCAAGGAAATTCCCAAGAACAGAAAAACCTCTAAGAAATACTCATAAAAGTTGATGAAAATTGGAAAAGAAATTAATAATCTTTAACCAATAACATCTATAAATTCAAAGGCATAACCATAAATTCCACAAACAAGAACATATAGCATTAACATTGTGTCAATATAAACTACCATAGCAACACTCCCGGAATTAACGAGTAAGTGAACAAACAAGAAGGACATGATAAACACCAAAAATAAAAAACTTTATGGAATAACATTCGATACTTCGTCTAAATTCCTGCCAATATATAACCAAAAAGTAATATTCATGACTGAAATAACATAATTAAAAGATAAAACACCTTGCAAAAGAACTCTGTGAGAACAGATGAGTTCTACAACAACTCAGTTACTTTCAAATCAAAAGTCCCAAAACAAGCATTCCCAATACGAAACTCTCCCCATCCCAGCCTGAACTGCCTCGAGTTTTAAAGGCTTGCACCCTATGCTTCAACCATCTTGTACCCAGGAAATGATGCCACAAAAGACCAAGGATACAGCCTAGATTTGCCTACCAGCAGCTTCACCAACAAATGGCAAATAAGGAGTCTTACCCAAAACAGAACTCACCAATCCATACACAAAGCAGAAACAACTAAACAGAAAAACTGCATTATGACCCCAAATCAACAGCTTAAACCCTAATCCGCTCCGACCCGGATTGAAGATTCGGGCCAAAAGCAAAGGCACCACCAAGAGCACATCTAAAGTGACAGCTTGCATTGAATTGAACCTCACATACTGGCTAAAGCTCGGATTTCTAACAACACCCAAATAAAGAGCGAAGAAGGCGACAAAACTAGCATATGGCATTGACCTGTAAAGGTTTAAGAGAGGTATTAGGGGTTCAAAGAGGAGACCCAATTGTGGGTACTGAGCGAAAAGGAATCGCCCATATTGAAGAGAGTTGAAGAAAGGGAGAGTGTAAGCAACGGCAGAGATTAAGCGATCTGTAGCTGGTGTGGGATTGTATGACATGCGAGTGATGGTGAGCTTTTGTGACAGACGGGTTCCTGTAGGCGATTTAAGAAAGAGAGGCGAAGGAGGGACAAAGGAAGATAAAGGGTATGGTTTGGGTATGGTTTTCAGAGAGGCAGCGGGAGCGAGTCGCAGAAAAGAAATCGAAGCCATTTTCGAGAGACTCCTATACTCGCTGGTTGGGAGCATATAATAGTAAGCAAGGAAGAAAGGACAGAAAGGTCATATGAATATTTCTTTTTTGAGGAATGAATATATCAAATCTTATTCCGTCTTCACATGGGCACAGTCTTTGTAGCCCGTAGATTGAACGTGCAGACATTTTTATATTAACATAATTTAAAAATATAATATATAATTAAGATCGTTACAAGTAAAATTTTTATTTTTAATTAAACATAAATATAAAATTGTTAGGCAAAATTAATCATCGAAATAGAAGATTTTAATTCATTAAAATTAAAGAATTTTTGGAACATAATTTCAATACAATTAAAAAAAGTTAAAGTAGTTAATTAATATCAAATAAATATACAGCACACTTATTTGAAGATAGATTTGCAATATTTATATATATGAAATACGGTAAAAAATTTTGATACACTAACCGAAATTTTTTTTAAAATAATGTATATTTGCTTGTGTAAGTCCATTATTTTGTCATAGAATGAAAATTTCAAGTAAAAATGAAAATAATAAGACGAATTTTCTAATACTTTTATCCGTATCTTGAAATTTAAATATATACCCTGCATCAAGACAATGCCGATCGATCGAGTTTCATCTCCCCGTCTTTAAATGGATTGGATTTCACAAGTCATTATTACCTTCCGATGAACGGGAGAAAAAACAAAAATAAAAATTAATTTCATCCTAGAAAATCTTAAATTGAACAAAAGCAAACTCCAATTTCACTAGTACATTTTGTTCATCTTAAATGTCAATATCTTTAAAACTAGAAGATTTGGGAAAAGAAACATTTGATGTTAGAGAGAAAGTAGGCACTCCAGCCCAGTAATAATTACACAACTGAATCCAAAGTCCAAGCAAGCATATGACTATAAACTAACAGTATGTTTTAAGCCCCCTGGATTGAAACTACTCTTAATATTATCTCACCTTGAGCTAGTACCATTTATTTCCTACTACCAGGGCAGGAGCAATCTTTTCTCCCTCGCTTCAGATACAGTAACTACTTAGACAGCTCAACTTGCAATCCGTAGCTGTTTTAAGCATTTCATCAATGCTTCTTCAAATGCACAATATTACAAAATAAGACTCAAATTGGCAAATATATAGTTGCCAGATTCCAAAGGTCCAAAAGATTCTCGTGTTCTGAATGATAAAAAATCTTCCTTACGCTCAGAAAAAAGGAAGTGGTTGCTTTATATATATATATATAGCAGCAATCATCTTAGTGGGAAATTATTTAGGTGTCTTTGTTTTTTCCTCTCAAAACCAAAACCCATTCTGAAGCAAAATGCAAAAATCAAAAAAGATACTCTGAGTTGCATCCCAGTCATCCATATACCACGTTCCAAGATGACCAAAATATTGTAAGCTGGAAACCCACCATTTATCAATTTGGAGAAAACTAAAATTGAGCTCAAGTTCAAAAATAACAAAGATGAATTTAGATAAATAGCACAAAGCGTACCTCTTAAACATACAAGTCAAGAAAATCTATGAAGCAGTTGGTACGCCCACCTTAGCACATAATATCAAACTCCACTAAAAAAATATTAGAAGACATACATAAAATCATTTTTTACTCCACAAGTTCATTAACCTAGGCAGAAAAAACACAAATTTCATACCAAAATACTAAACAGCAACAGCCCTAGTACCGATCGTAGCGCCTGCCAAAGAATAAATAACATTGTTATCAATAACTACATATGAATCCTAATACCAACAAGAAATTACAACAACACATTATCGTACAAAACATCATAATTGAACAGGTAAAAACTGTTCATGATTAGCATATTTTAATTATTAATTATCATTACCGTTTCGAATACATTATTTTCATTCAAGTTAATCGATGTTGAGTGAAATCTATAGGTCAATTTAACAAATTTGGAATTTAAAAAACAAAAAATGGACCTCCTATTTCAAATGCAATTGAATACCTTCCCTTATTTAAATGTAAGAATTTGAAATTCACAATTTAAAATTCAAATTAATTTGAAAGTGACATCCTAAATATCAAATTCAAATTCAAAAATCCAAATGCAGGCTAGCATATTTCATTGAAGCAGAAGCAGCAAAAGAAGAAGCGTTTTGTCACTAGTTGAAAGATTTAATTAGCAGATAACACAATGCTAACAAACTACCTGTGACGATCATAATCCCTGGAACGTTCTCTAGACCGAGATCGCGACCTGTGTCGACTTCTTGAATCATAACTACGAGAACGATCTGCATCTCTATCACGTTCCCGGTCATGACCACGATCTCGATCATAATGCCTGTCACGATCTCTGCTCCTACGATCATGATCCCTCTCCCGGTCACGGCTATCTGCCCGATCTTGATCCCTGCTGGATTCTCTGTCACGGTCTCTACTTCGCTCTTTTGATCTATAGTATCAAAAAATTTTTTAAGAATTGATGGGTTGGAATGGAAAATAAAGAGAAGGATAGAATTGCAAAACCTTAAGTACTAAGTCAGTGAGTGGTTAAGAGAGAAGTATTTGGAATGATAATACCTCCGATCATCATGCCGATCACCTCTGCGAAGCTTGTTTCTCTCTTCCTGGCAAATTAATTATAAACAAAACAAAAAAAAAAAAAATACTGAAAACCATCCTTCAAATAAGATTAAGTACAATTCCAGCTGAGATAAAGAACAGAACAACTTGCATAAGCAAGCAGAATAGGTTTTATAAAAGAAGGCAACATTAACAAGTTGTAGCCGAAGGCAGAAAATCTCTGCACCATTTGCAAATATCTCTAGTTGAATGTTTACATTAAAATTTCACACATCATCCGAATTCCAAACACATTTCGTTTCCCAACAATAGCACAAGCATGTACACAAAAAGCATCTGCACATCAACAAAAACATCCCACTTTCTAAGCAGCATCCTTAGAGTATATTGAAGGTTTAAGTATCTAGGATTCTCATTATCAATTAGCCTTATTTCCAACTTTCCTGGAAAATGGCATGAGACGTCTAAAATCAGACATCTGCAAGATTTTAAATTTTCAATAGCCAGACACAACAATAGTAGATCACCTGGCATTCTTTTGACCCCGACACAATTAAAGGAGCCAACTTTTTTTTTTCACATCAGGACTTGGACAAAATTAATTTTAAACCCATTAAAAATCAGGATTCCCCTGACCCTCACAAAACAAGATGTCATGCACTTGGATGCTTGTTTTTTTAGTATACAAATATGCACTTACAGATATCTGCAGGATATGATGCCAGGTTTGCGTCACTGATATGCATAAGACATGCCTCTTACAAAGAGTTCTGTGTTTCAAATTCCAAAACTATCAAATCTAAAGATGGGGAAAACTAAGAAATTGTTCTTCTCCGGGTTAAGAAAAACTCACAGATGCATACTAACTGAGAATCTCTATAGAAGAATGTGAAAGATTATAGCAGCACCTGAACCAACATATCCACAAGACCAACTTAGAACCACACGCCAATTTGCATTATGTCCTTTTAAGTCTAATATAAAAACAATTAATCACATTTTTAACTGATAGTCAATTGGATCTATGGTGAATTTTGGCATGTTTACTACATTTATCCATGATCAACCCTTTTCTAGTTATAATAAGAAAGAAAATGAATTAGCCGAAAATACAAGGTAAAGTTTTTCTTTTTCAATACCTGAAGTTCTGCTAGTTTCTCACGGATTTGCATATATCCTAGATGAAGCTTCCCTCCAAAATGATCTGCTAAACGTCGATCACTGAAAAGTAAAAATCAAAATCAAAATGTTTCATAGGACTCTCAAAATATGTTAGATGAGTAATGTGCAGTAAGTGGACCCATAATTTTCTAACTATATTATGATTAGCAAGCTTATAAAACAGAAAAAGACGCACATTCTTTAGCTGCAAAAGTTATCCTCGTAAAACTGGGCCCAAAAGCCTGCTGGTAACAAGGAGGTATAATAGTTGGGTCAAAAGCTGAGCCACTCAAAACCCCAAATGCAAATTCTTTTGTTTCCCTTAGGAAAGCATAAAAGACTGTACATATTTGAGTGATAAGATCAAGGTATACCTGTCATATACGCTCAAAAATGCTCCACAAATGTCACAAACGCGCAACTTCTGATCAGTCTGAAACAACATTAAAATCAATTAGCATGAAATTTTGTAGTCCACATAAATTAAGCATACAAGACAATCTAAATTATTAGAGATGGAGACCGCTGAATGACTTGACATGTCAAATATTTCTATCTTCCAATAGAACATTTAAACAAATACATGTCTAAGAATGTCAAAACAATATAATCTCTCTTCTTAATTTCCATTAAACGCTGTGGTAAAGTGCCCTAGAATGCGACCATTGATCTATAAATATGATCTTATCAACTGTAAAAACATGTAAATGGTAGAGAAGAAGTGTTTAAAGAACGGCTAGGATCTTAGTAATGACCCAATATATGACCCTTGTACTTCAAATACAAGCATCTTGCTTTCAAAAGTGATAGGACTGCATCTTGCATGAAACTTCTGATAATTTTTAGTGAAGTAGACAAGGTTAAGCAGACAGATTATATTTTATGTGTAGAAGTAACTGTTTCGCCCATAGCCCATTGGCGGTAGAAACACATTGCACTAAATTGCTTTACTATAAGATGCATGAACAATGCAGCATAATTCCTTGAAATCTCTTGAACTTTTTAATGATTTCAATTCTGGATTGTTTGGATTTTAACAACATTGTAAAGAACCAAAAAAGGATATTAAGAACGTAAACTCACAATGCGCACATCAGCAGCAGTATACTTGGAGGAATCCAGGGCAGGATCTTGTCTGGCAGGCAGCTGTAGAGAGCAAGAATTGTTAAATAACAGTTATATATACCAAATTGAGGGAAGGGGAGGATTAGACAAAGAATCCAAAAAGAAAAGAAGGGGAATAAACACGATAAACCAGAGCAAAATTATTGGAAAACAAAAACCTTTTTAAGTGCCTCAGCCTCTTCCAGTGCTTTTTGAGCCTCATCTACCATTCCTTGTTCACCTGAAGAATGCACAAGGCCTTAAGAACTAAACCAAAACAAGTACGAGAAACAAGAGTACAAGCAGAACCAAGGGAAAAAAAAAAATGCATTCTTCATTAAACCTATAACATATATGAGAGCAAGAATTAAAGTTTAGCATCCTATAGTTAGCTACGGTTTCAACTCAATCCACTACTAAGTATTGCACATCCTTTATCTATGGCCATATATCTCAAATAAAATACACAAAATAGTTCATTTCCAACTTCTCTCTAAAGGCACATATAAGTGCAAGAGAAAACTAATAGTATAATTAAAATTGTTTAAGAAAATCATAAGACAAATTGCAATATTTTGCCAATAGGTTAGGCAATCTAATGGAAGGGAAAGGAGCATTATATCCATATTCCTTGTTTAGTTCCCTTCTTTCTCCACTCCTTAAAAAACAGAAACACAAGAAGTGGAAAGAAAAGACAAGAATAAGGTATGACACGATAAACAGCCGATGATACTTCAACTCTTTATAGAAAACAATTCAAGAATTGTCAGAAACACAACGGTACCATGCAAAAGAAAGTTCTACTCCAATCTACTAGTCTAACAAGTACAGGAAAGGAGTCACTTACCAAGATCCTCCGCCTTCTTCAGCTTCTCATTTATCATTTCCTGTGTGCGAGGATCAGGAGCAGGTACAGGTAAGGGTGCCAATGGTGGTGGGTTTGGTAGTGGTTGAGGCAAAGATGCCCTATCTTTATTGAAGGCTTCCAAGAGTAATGCAGACTGTCACAGACACATACATATTATTTAATATCATCAAAACTTTTTAGTTGAAAGCAAAATAGGAAATTAAAAAAAACTTATATAAGCAGCACCACACCAGTATCTTCAGCAACTTGCTACAAATTCAAAGCCTAAAGGAGCTACTTTTCATACCTGCTTCTCTGCTCTTTCGGTTCTGAGTTTTTCCACCTCTTCCAGAGCTTGAATCTTAAAATCTGTCTTTCCTTCAAGGTCTACAAATTTACAACACATTTTTCTCACAATTTACACAGATTTGCTAGTGTCACAAAAACTTTATCAGCACATTCAAAGTACTTCAAACCACTCAAATGCTAAGTTTTCAAAAATACAATGAGCAACACTATTATCATCCAGCAATGGCCTCTATATCACCTTGAAAAATCACATGCTAAATAACACCTCAGTTTTCCCATTTTAACATCAATAGTTTAGCGCAACATTGATTCACCAATTCAGTACACAAGGAGCCTTCCAAACCAGTAAAAAATCCAACGCCATGATTTTAACAAACTCAATCCCTTCTCAAGTAAAAGTAGGCCATAAGCTAAGTTTTACATAAGGATTACAATCATCAGAGAAGGCAGCTAGAAACAGACCTAAAAGTAAATTATTTTAATCGTTATAAACCATAAACTAGTTCCTATGTCACTTACCAAATTTATCAGCTTGTTTCAATTTCTCCTTGATCTGCTTTGACAACTCAACTATCTCCGGCGTCTGTGTTTCAAGAGGGATCATTTGTATTCAATATAAATTATCAAACATTTATAAATTTGTTGAACTTCAATATAAATTATCAAACATTTATAAATTTATTGAACACACATTAAAAACTTGACATCACCTGCGTAACTTCAGAGACTGATATTGCAATAGCAGCCTTTGCATCCTCAGCCTCAAGGCGTTTAAGTGCTCTACTGATTTTCTTATCACACTCAACAATAAGCCGGTCTATAACATCCTCTAACTCTCTGTCATAGTTATCTGTACCTTTTGCTCTTGCCTCTTCATATCTATGTAAAGTTAAAGAAGCATATAGAAAAGGAGCTGAAAATTAATCAGCCATGTGATTAGGCGATATTAATTTTGAAATGATTCCTTGAACCGATTATAATTAGAAATGCAGAAACAAGTGAAGTGATCACAATATAGATAGATAAATAGGTAGACAGGTACATAGAGAGAGAGAGAGAGAGAGAGAGAGAGAGAGAACACAAAAATTATATAAAGCTAATAAAGGATACTCTTTTCTCAGCTGCAGTGAGTGGACCTTCGGACACGGCCCCATATCCATTTTCTGAAACAAAGAACACCGTGAATTAAACATACTCAGAACAAAAATAATATCAAAATCATTATACTTGAATCAAAAACAATCATCAGCGCAATGTATGAACTTCAAGCAATGAGTCAAAAATCTATTCAATCAAGTCAGACAGCTCTCTCACTAGAAATTTATGTAAACTATTCCTGGCGTAAATTTTCAACTATTCTGAAAAAATAACACGTCACTGCAAGCATGAGGGAAAACAAACACCTCCAGACTGGGACAGGAATATAAAGTTCGTCGTTTTCTACTAGAGTTCCAGTACTCGCTTATGTAGTTGGTAGACATGCACCTCTATCTAGTTTGATTCCCTCCTCGAATCTGTAACTATAATTCAAAAGTTGAACAACTCTGGTTGGTTGCCCAGAAGATGATTGCAACAAGCAATAGCAAAAAAAATTTCCAGCACAAAGCTTTTCTTAGCTCCACTTTCTAAGCAAACGAGGAACCGATATCCTTCTCTAGAATAAATTTTCTTAATCTGAGGCACTAGGGTTTCGATAACGAAAAGATAATGAAGAAAAATAATTAAGCCAATCGCTGAAACTGAAATTACCGTTAATTGAAAGAGTTCATGAGGGCACAGGCCGACTAAATACATGCGACACACATCACGATCGTAGTATTTGCGATTCACCTCCCTTACGTCTCCATTACGATTGGCTCCCATGAGCACATCCAGCTGTTTCCGCATGGCGTCCATGTTTCCTCCCTCGAGCTTTCTCGAGCTCTAACTTTGTTATAGCGCGACAGCCCACACACTCTCCGTCTCTGAGGTCGAGTGAGAGATTAGGGTTTTGCTCAAAACAAGGTTTTTTTTGGGGTAAAAAACTACAGTGGGGCTTTGGTAATTTGGTACTTCATGTAAGAATCGTTTATTTATCTGTGTGCCCTTATATTTAGATTATTTTACAGAATGGGGTTTTACAATTTCATTATTTGTAGTTTGAACCCATGCAATAGTTCTCATGACATTTGCACACGACATCGTTTCCTTCACATATATATATGCACACTCGCTTAGCTCCCTTCTCTCCTTTCGTCTTCAGCGGCCGAAATCCACAGCCACCAGCAGCAGCAGCTTCGTAGCAAACTTCGAAGGTAACTGACCCGCGAAATCCTATTTTAATTCAAGGCAAAAATATTTGGGTATTGATTGTGAAATGGACAGGAAAGAGAGAGAACAAAGATGAATAAGAAGGAGATACTAAAACTAGCAAAAGGATTTAGGGGAAGAGCGAAGAATTGTATAAGGATAGCAAGAGAACGAGTGGAGAAGGCCTTGCAGTATTCATATAGAGATCGCCGCAACAAGAAGCGAGACATGCGCTCTCTATGGATCCAACGCATCAACGCCGGCACCCGCCAACACGGCGTAAGTCATTATAATTATCATGCCCATAAAATTTGAATTGGAATTCCATATCCAATCTCTAGGGATGGTGACCGGAACAGCCTTGTTGAAGCACGATTAAAGTTCACTTACTGAAATTCTATGACTGTGAATTGGTTTAATGATAATTTTGGTGCGTCAGTCAAATGAAGTTGTCTTGAGTTAATTATTTGGAGAAGTTGCAAGAATTGTTATTTGTTATGTTGGTTGCTTCAGATTTTTCTATACAGATTCTTGAGGTTTTAGTAGAGCTAAGAATTGAATGAGAATAGGAAATTGATGTCCCAATACAGAGTCAGCTTAAGGAATTAAGGGCTTAGTTTGGAGTTCACTGTATGAACCCAAGGCCATAATTCTTAAATTATTACTACTTTCCTTAGTTTAAGGTTGTTAGTTGGAGCAATAATTGTTGTAATGGAACATATTTCTTTGTGGGATTTTGATTTCCATGAAATGTTGTACTCTGTTTGGGGGTCTGCTCAGTTACTTACTGATTCTATTAAATGCCCATCGTCGTGTAGCAAACTGATGGCACTCTTTCTTTCTGCAAAAATTAATGGCCAATTATGCTCCTCTGGAAGTTACAAACTTTGTATTACTTCATTGGAGGGATTTTTAGTTTTTGGTGGATATAAGAGAACTCTTTTGACATTTCTGCTTCTGATCTTTTCTCATTTATGAAACAAATGGTGAAATTAGAATTTCTCTCTGTGAATTGAAATGGCAAATCCAGCTTATGTACCTTGTATACCTTAGTGGCACATTGATCTATATGTCAAGAAATGCATCTTGGATTTCCTTTAATGGGAAAGAAACTTCTATTGCTTTTCTTGGTATTTAAATATGCTAGGTTTCATGAATCTTTCTCAATAAATAAATAAATAGATGGAAAAAAAAAGAACAGAAAAAACTAGCTCTCATGTATTTAAGGTAGAACTTCTTGTGTCTCATATGTGGGGCAAAATTTTTTGACATTTTCTACTTCTTTTTTGTCTCTCATATATGATATTTGAAACAAATAATGAATGTATTTTCATTGAGAGTTGAGAGGATAAGCCACCATATCTCCTTTGTTTGAATAACCTTGAGGATGATTTCTTTCTTTATAGTTTATAGTCATAAAGCAGATTGATGACTTAAAAGAGATTGATTGGAAATTTTTTTTAAAATTCAGAATGGGAGGTGTCAGGACTTGTTTGCAAGCATATTGACAAGACTAACTTAGGAACCATTATTAGTTTTCTTATATGGTATCCTAGACATGATTAATGATATTTTGTTTTGCATTGCCCTACTCTACTTCTTATCAGGTTAACTACGGCAACTTCATGCATGGTCTAATGAAGGAGAACATTCAGCTGAACAGGAAAGTTTTGTCAGAGCTATCTATGCATGAACCATATAGTTTCAAGGCGTTGGTAGACGTATCTCGCAATGCCTTTCCTGGTAACAAAAATGTGGTGCTTCCTACCAGGAAGGTAGAAAATATATCAATTAATGTATAATTATTATTTTTAATACAGAGAGTTTAGATAATTTTGGTTGTTATCATTTCACTGCAGTTTATGCTCTTTTATGAAGCAAACCTTCTGAACTAGTTGACTTTATATTTTAATTGTAATCAACTTCTCTTTTGGTCTGTTTTAGTTACTTTGATTTACTTCGAATTGGTGTCCATTTAAGTATTTTTATCATGCGTCTAGTCACCCTGACCTTGCCCCAAAAAATGGTGTTTTGTTTGTAGTTCTTTTGAGTTTCGTTCCCCTTCTTATGTTCTGTAAATCCTAGTTCTATTTCTATTTTTATGCTATTGTTAATGGTTAGGAAAAGAATTCGAGCTGTGAAATGGTGGAAGGTTGGCAATGGCGATCTTCATGAGAAAGCTCAGATATTTTTTGGTGTAAGAAGGGGAAAAAACTCGAAAGAACTAGAAGCAATCAAAAAAAAAATGTTTCTGATCGATTTTTTTTTTTCAAGTGTACGGTGAGAAATATTATTGTGTGAATCAAAATATTGTTTGTAATTAATTTAGTGTGTAATTAATTTAGTGTGTAGGTGGACACGCCTTTCTCTAAGAAACATATATTATGCCCATTTTCAAAAGTTGAAAATCTTTATAATAAAATTTACTACTTTCATGTCATAATACTGATAAAATAATGAAAAATGAAATTTTAAGAAATTGAAAAAAAAATTCAATTTTTAGATATTGGCATAAAGGATCCAAACAAAAGAAGCAAGAAAGAAAGGCATAGGCCCAAACCACACCAATTTGGTTAAAGCCCATCATCAATTATCGCCAAGCAAAATAGTCAAAAACCAGTTTCTCTCTTGCAGTTGCTGAACTCGAAAAGCACAGTATCATGACGAAGCAATTGCTCGCTTTCCTATTCACTGTTTGTCTCTTAACGTCATCTTTCCGTGCCTTCCAATCAGATGAGCTTCTTGTAGACGACGAAGAGTTCGGCATCGAGGGAGCCTCTTCTCGCCCTCAACAACGTTCATCTGATCCTGCAAATACCAGATCATCCCCAACTCCTGCTACTACTACTCCTACCAGTACTCGAAGGAAGTTCTCCGATCCGGATTCCGACTCCAAGATCCAATTCACCCTCGAACACGCCTTTGGTGACTCCGATTTCGTTCCTGCCGGTACTTTCTCTGCTCGCCTCAAAACTTGGGGTCATGGCGGCCAGGTATTCTTCTCTTTTTGCTGTTGCCGCTTTAACTCATTCGATCATTTTAGTTTTTGATTTGAAATTAAACGACATGCTATTTTGCCTGTACCAGACTCTTACGAAGCTGCGGTTTTCAAGAGACTCCTTTACACAAGTGGAAAAGGAGAAATTTGAAGTAAATTCCACCAATATTTGATTATGTTTCTCCCTGTTCAATCTGCCAGTTATTGCCCAACAGTTTTTGAACTCAAAGTTTGCATTTTTGTAGAAACTGCTGCTTGGTGATGAGTTCTATAGGATAAGACTGCCATCTAATGTTTTGAGTCCTCCTGGAAGGGATTATGTTGTTTCATCCGTCAAAGCAGTAAGTTGCTAGCCATCCAGATTGTTACATCTCCAGAAGCTTTTAACTTTTATGTCCATTTTTGTGATCTCAAACTATTAAAAGAATGATAAGAGCTATATCTAACCTGCTCGTCAATTTATGTGTTTTTCTCTATTTAAAAAATCTGGGATTTCGATATGAGTTTTGTCTCTAATATCCATTACATCACATTTAATTTTCAAATTTTCCGTCGTAACTTGGAGCTAACTGAATTAATTTTGCTGTGTTTGATATTTATGTGGAACGACCTATTTTTTTCCATTCATTTGGATTCCATTTCTTTAAGTAATTATCCTTGTTCTTCCATCGCAGAGATGTCTTCCACGGGAGGGTTTGGATGAGCACTTTGTGATACACATGGTAATTTCTACTCTGATAATTAGTGGATTCTTTCTTCTGCTTTTATTTTTTTCAATCTTCTGGCTTTTTATGATTTGTAGTATTTGCCCTTCCAATAGGGTTACCCTTAGCTCCTGTCTCTTTTTGGGTAGTTAATCATTAATATGGCTGAAGTCTTCTGGAAATTCAATCAAGCAACAGGAAATGTTGGAAATTGAATCATAATTTATGATGGTGAATTGTTATAAGCACTTCAATTATTTTTTTAAAAGAAATTGCATCATTGAGAGAGGTGCATTTTGGTTCTTTTTATGCTTTTGAGAAAGGCTTGACGTATGGTTGGTGCTTTATCTTTTGAGGGTGAAGGAAGAAGAGGGAAGCAAATGAAATTTACATGTAAGATGCTTTAATGGTATCTGCCGTACTTATGACATTTTAATTTTCCCATTCTTTGGTGCATGTGGATTTTAATTGCTGTATGCAGGTTTTGATTGGAACTTTGTCTGTTTCTAACATTTCTATAAGACATAGACGATTAATGTAACTAAAGGCTATTACGTTATTGTTTAGTGAAATTACAATTTCCTTTCCTCTAGTTTAGAATGAAGACAGAAAAGGAAAAAGAAAAAAGATGGATAATAAGTAGTTGTGCTGCAGACATAGATTGAGCTATAGGGTGCACCACATGGAATCATTTGTAGGCTGACTCAGGCCTTGTGAGACTAGGGGGGAGTTTGGTGAAATTGATCATTCTATAAACTTGTGTTTACTCTGTTTCTTTATTTACTTGTTTTTAAATGAAATAGCAACTTTACTTCATGATATTATATAAGCTACATTTGTATCATATTCTGTTTGCTTTATGAGATGTCATATCACATTGTATCTTATTTTTATTTTGCAGGAAGGTGTTAATATCTTAGCTGTCAACTATGGTGCCCCTGGGGCATGCCCCTACCCTCGACAAATGAAACTTGTAAGCTGGGATTCTTTTTACTTTTGCTCTTGAACTTTTCTGGCACAAAAACCAAGGATAAGAACTATATTGTTCACGTATTCTTAGTACAATTTAAATTTGTTGATTAAGGTTAACTATAAATATACATCAAGAACTAAGAGTGCAAAATAATTACAGTACTTTTTTTGCTTTTCTCTTTCTTTTTCTATCCTTGGAATCATCGAAGAATTCTTAGTTTGCCATTTTCATTTTACTGTTATTTGAATTAATGAAACACTTGGGAGTTTTGAAACGTGTCATTTCTCAAACAAGCATCCCACACCAAATACCTCAAATAATATTTCCATGTTGTTTTTTCCTGGTAAAAAATTTCATTTTAACTGACTTCATAGACAAAGCTTGACTTTTTAGAGGACTCAGGCATATTATTATATGAGCTAACTCTCATTTGCACTCTTCCATCTCTTTAATTGTAGCCTGCAAAGTGGTCATTCAATTCCCATACAGTTCTGAAGAACAGCGAGCAGGCACCAAGGTACATTAATGTAGCTTTATCATTCGTTCTTCACTTTCAATAACACTGGGGCTGTTTTCCTAACCTTTCAGGTCTGTTCAAGTGGCCGATTTTCTGTAGCTATACCATTAATTTTCTCAATGTATTTAACCTTCTAAAAAAGAAATAACTTATAGCATTTTTGCATGAGATGCTGCAAGAAGAACACTGCACTGAGCAATATATTTGTCTTTGTATTCTATTTAAGAAAGAATTTACTTGATGTATCTCAAAGCAGGCAAACTATTTGTGCTTCACAGTGGACTTCTTTTAAGCAAGAGTCCACAAAAATATGGCTTATAAGCCAGAAGTTTTGCTTCTGATGCCATTACTGGATAGGAGTATGCTTCTCTAGTATTTACTAAGTTATTAAACTAATCAATGATTTTTGAAGTAGCCCTGTCCTGGTCCAAAGTTCTTATTATAACATGATCAGATAATAAAAATTAGAAAGAGTCTATTAGTATCAGTTGCAACCATTGTTACAAGCTTCTTGGGTCTAGTTCATCAAAACCCTTTTGCCACGTTTACTTATTCACCCATGTTCAATTGATACATTTCTTTTTCCATTAATTTACTTAATTAATTGTTAAATAGTTGGAGGAAAAAACTCAAGGTTTTACAAGGGAAGTATCCCTTGTACAAATGTCTTTCCTTGTGGTTTTGGTTGAAAGTTGTTGCTTATATTTGTATTTCAAGCATTATTTGAATCTGTGTACGTTTGGCAGAACTCCAATATTTACTGAGGAGACCATTGGAGAAAATGGAGAGGGTGAAGCTGTGCAACCACCAGAAAGGTCTTTCTGGGCTAAATATGTGAGTATTCATTTATCTGTATGTGTGGTCTCTATCTTTATAATTCTTACCATACCCCATGACAGAAAATTAAATTGCATTTGGACCTCATTTAATTTTCTTTGTTCCAGTGGATGTACTTGATTCCTCTTGGACTCATAGTGATGAATGCCGTAACTCAAGCGATGAATCTGCCTGAGGAACAAGCCATGGGTCAGGCAGGTGCCCCTTCGGCAGCAGCAGTTCAGCGAGGGCCGGGTTCTGCTGTTAGAAGAAGATGAGTTGTCTGAACGTTCTGTTTCTACAAATGCGAAAGGATCAGACTTTATATTCTTGTATTAAAGCAATAGAGTCCTCTGTATTTTTATCAAGTGATTTTTGATTGCGCTGGTAGCTAGCACAGCTGGGATGGTTGTAGTTAGGGCTATGACTGAGTGACATTAGAGGGAAGTTCCGGTTTAGCCCGTATCTTCAATCTTTTAATCTAAATTTAATCCAAAGTTTACAGTGAGTTTGACCTGGTTTGTGATCAACCCATTTTACTTTAATTTTTCTCTTTTTTAATTTTTAAATTTAAGTTCGTTTCTATCATGTATTATCATGCAATTGATGAATTTTACAGTTCTTGAAATAAATTTACATATTAATGCGAGTACAATAGTAAATTCCATGCGAAAAAAAATTATATATTACAGTAAACTTTGTATGTCTTAAGAAGAAGCAAGTAAAGAATCATCCTTCACCAAGAAAAACAATCTAACCAGGAGGCAAGGTTCGGGTTTTCTCTTATAAAGAAGATTCTACTTAATTTAATTGTGATGTGTATAAGCAAAATCCCTTCTTTTTTTTTTTTTTTTTTTTTTTTTTTTTTTTTTTTTTAAAGAAGATCTCTACTTATTTAATGTGAATGTGTATAAGCCAAAATCCCCTTCTTTTTTTTTTTTTTTTTTTTTTTTTTTTTTCTTGTTAAAGCAAAATTTTTCCTCCATAAAAAATGTTGGATATGACAAATAAAAACCTGTTCGGAAAAAATAGGTAATAATTTCTGCGATATCATTTTGGCCTATCCGAAATACGTAGAGTAGAATACTATAGCAGCATGTGGAATATAGCGATTCAGAAAGATTAATTTCATCACATAATTGGACAACATTACATTAAGTTATTTCCTCAATATAGTCTTTTTACACAGTTACAGCATGAAAATGGTACAAAATCACAGTATTTCTAATAGTTTTATGGTTGATCTTCAAAATTTCCAAAATTGTGGCCGTCGTCAAGATCCAACGGGACAAGGAAAGAGAAGCATCGTTCACAGCTCATCCTGAAATTAACAGATTAAAGAAACAAGGAAATATTTTGTTAAATTGGTGCTTAACAGCATACCCAAGAAACATGTAAATTCATATATAAGGCATATTGGTATACAAATCTCTAGCTCTATATAGACAACAGCATGGAAAGTTCCATCTAGCAGTTGCATAGGAGGATCAAAATGGGCAATATTATTCACAGGTAACAACAAAAAAAAACCTTTTGAGTTTTTTTTTTGGAGGTAATTTTAGCAGTCAGAATAGAAGGTAACTAATTAGCTTTTTGCAGAGTTAGGAAAAGGACAAAGGTTTAGAATCTTAATTGATATCGTCCATTAGATAATCTCGCTGGCATAATAAGCACATTTAGTCGAGATTTGTATTCATGAATAAAACTAGACATAGGCAGAATAAAATTGCCCAAATGATTGCAGTTATATGCCATAAAACTTTTTACTAGGGTAAAGATGCTCCAAAAATAGTTGGTTGTGGTCGCAGCCTACCACAAGTTACAAAAAGAATAGATGGTTCACAACCCTCTTTGAGACTTCATGGACCAAGGTTTCTCATGAACCATGATAGCTTAGGCAGAACAAATGGAATGATGGGGTATAACTAAAGGCATATGGAGTTACACAAATCCCTTCTATATTTATCTCTGCTATCTATTCTCCGGTATCGCCGATCATTGCCTCACTTTCTCTTTCTCCTCCTTTCACCTTTCCTCTCTAGGCTCTTTGAGCTTTCCTGCAGAAGGGCAAGGGATTTCAAAGTTTATCAGAAGCTCACAGTTGAAGGATGACAGATGACAGACTAAACAAAATTTGTCTGGAAAATACCTCTTCCTCTCGGGAGCTTTTCTGATTTTTTTTGCTTGCTTTCTCGAATGCTTCCTTTTCGATCTGAAATATGCATAATATAAGCTAAATTAACAACCCATTGTATGACAAAACATCATAAGAATATTAATAATACCGGGGATCATTTGAGAAGCTTAGCACTCCACCACCGACCACGAGAGACAGGCAAACCTCTCTATTGGCAAATACTTCCTGGATCAACTTCTTTGCATATTCTGGATTCAATTCACAGTTCAGAACCATTATGTTTCCAAAAAAACTTGATCCGGACCTTTACCTGCTTGCCAACAAATGACGAACCACATGATTTGATCTTAGAAATAAAATCATTGTTGAAAAACATAGAGATCAAGGCGTGTTACAAAATAGCTATTTGATAAGTTCTTACCTTGCCAAAACTTCAATTCCAACATATTTTATTTGGCTTTAAGCACATAAAGATTTCAGGATTCATCTTCAAACTCTGGAAATTAATTATGGGGGAAAAGACGAAATACAAAAAAATCGAAAAGGGTTAAACTCCCCCTTATTGTAAAGATTTCTACAAGCAGATTTTGACTTTACTCTTCAAAATACTGGGGAATGCAGTACAATGAATAAAAATCAGATGTGCCTTAAACAAAGAATACCTGGCAATTATCAATATAAGGGATCTTCCTTTCCCCTTTAATTTAGGTTTTCTTGATTCTCTGGCAGTAATTCATAAAAAGTTACCCAACCAATTTTGGAAAAAAACCGGCAAATTTGAATAAAAAAAAGGATTTATTGGCTTTAGTTTTTTAGTAGTAATATTCATTTTCCTTGGGTTCTCATGGGCTTTTTTCCTTTTCCGTTGTTTTTTTTTGGTTTTGTTGAGAAAGGAAACGGAATTAAAAATCCTTCTTTCTTTTTTTTCCACACCTG